AGGCACTCTATAAGTGTTCGTGGAATCTACAGATGGGAAAGGGTCCACTTCACCTTGGCCCGAGCAGCTGCCTTGGTCTCAGCATCCATCCAGTCCAACTCCTCCAGGCGCCGGCCCAAGATGTACTTGATGTCTTCCACAAGCTGCTGCACCTATAGGGCCAGGGGTCAGGGATCAAGGGTCAACCCAGGAGGCCTTAACTCTGGGCCCCCAGCACCTGGCACGAGGGATACCACTGATTCAGTACCACTTCCCAGGCCTAAGGCTTGGTCCTGAGCGCCAAGCGGGACCTTGGAGGTGGGGATCCAGGCCTGGCCCCCCTTACAAACAGCTCACAGTCTGGAAGCACAAACTGCCCCAGCAACAGTCTACCGAGCATGGCAGAGAAAGGGGGGCAGGAGCCTGAGGGGCCAGCCCTCCTGTGGCTGATAGATGAGGTAGGCTTCCTGGGGGAGGTGGCCTGGCGAGAAGTCTGGAGCTTCAGAGCGCCCCTATCTGCAAGGGAATATGTGGGCTCCCCATTCTCAGAGCAAGGCCATGGGAGGACTCTACGCCCTGCCCAGCACCTGCACCCACACCCAACCCCCAAGCCCAGGGCAGCCTGACCTTGGCCTTGCTGGCAGCTGAGAAGTGCTCATGTACAAAGAGAGCTCCAAGCGCCATGCCAAAGTGCCGGTTGGCCTGGCCCAGGCAGACACGGGCCAGCTCCTGTGGCTTGTCACTGCCCTCCATCTCCCGTGCCAGCTCGTGCAGCGCCTCTCGGAACGGTGGTGACAGGTGCTCACTCAGGACCACCACTACACGCCACACCAGGTAGTTGTGCAGGATCCTGAGGGCCAGGGGAAACGGCTGGGTGTCCACACAGGCTCATACGCAAGGGCCACCCAAGGGCTCCGTGCCACGTCACTCCAGATCCCTCGGCCTGGGGCTACACCCGGCACCCGCGCAGAAGCGGGGGTCACTCCAGATCCATGGAGCCGGAACCTGGAGTGGCCTGAGCCCCAGTCAGGGAAAAGGGCCCACACGAAGCAGGACACATCTCTGGCCCCTGAGATGAGTGCCTGATGCCGACCTGCTGTGCAGGAGGAGGGTGGGCACTCGGGGTGACTGTCTGCCTCAGGACTGGCCTTGGGGGGCCTCTGGGCAGAGACCAGGGAGGCGCTCCCCAAGGTGGCCCTGGGGCAGCAGAACTGCACCCACACCTTCCCTTTCTGGAGTCTGGACTCAGTCGGCCTCACTCTCCCCAGATGAGGAAACCGCAGCTCAGGGAGCTCACAAGCCCTGCCCAGGGTCCCAGAGAGAAGGTGGGAGAGCCACCTCTGCACCTAGGGATCTGGACTCCTATTCCAGTGCTCTTCACATGCCTCCCCAGTGTGGCTACCGGACGGAGGTGAAACGGGAATTCAAACCTTACCAAGCAGACACATCTGGGGTGCGGGTGAGGGATGTGGAGGGGCAGGTGGGGGGGGTGATCAGCAGCTGTACCTGCGGGGTGTGGAGCGGATGAGCTGGGACACCTGCTGCATGTAGTCTGTGGCCAACAGCACCACCTCCTCATCCTCCGAGAAGTCCTCCTGGAAGATCTGGTCCAGCAGCCACTTCCACTGCAGCTGTGGGGCCGAGGGTGGGGGACAGTAGGGCTGGGTGTTGCAGGGAGCACAGAGGACGGGGAGGGAGTCTGGGAGACGCACGGGAGGACACAGGAATCCATGGCGGTGGAAGGCCTCGCCCCACCCTGGGGAACAACGGCCCTGGAGTCCCAGCATCAATGCCTCCGCCCCGCGGCGGGCCGCACTCACGTGAGGGGTGATCTTCTGCAACTGCCCCAGCGTCACCTTGTTGTACATGGAGCTGACATCCCGCCGGAGGTCATCATACTCTGACACTGTGATCTGGAGGCGGAGATCAGAGTTGACAGGGCCCTGTGTAAGGGCGCCGTCCCCTCGGCCCATGGCAGTGCCCCCCCACTCACGTGGGCCCATGGCAGCCCTCCCCCGCCCCCGCTCACGTTGGCCAGCCGCTGCTCCAGCTGCAGGATCTCCTGTGCCTTCTGCTCCACAGCATCGGCCCCCAGCAGGCTGAGCAGGCGCTCCATGAACACCCGGTATGCTGCCAGGATCTGCACCAAGATGGGACATTTTGCAGGGGGGAGGGGGAGGGGAGGGTCCGTGTCAGGCCCTAGTCCATCCCTCCTGGAGCCCCAGGCCTTCCCTGCAGTCCCACCCCATGCCCCCACACCTTCTCACTCTCCTCATCCTGAGCTAAGTACAGGGTCCTCTCCGGCAGAGTGAGCCCATCCTGGTCAATCTGGGGAGAGTGACGGGGTCAGAGGTCAGAGATCAGCGGGCAACATGCCAGGTTCTTGCACACAGACTGAAGTTCCATCCAAATGCCCAGAGGACGTAGCAGACACCTCCTGTCGCAAGCCCCAGGAGCAGCACAAAAGCACATTAGCCCTCCTTCCACCCAGAGAAGTTGGTGGAAACCTCCACCCCTAATCAGTCTCCCCTGGAGATTCGGGGAGCGGAGGAGGACCCAGTCCCCCCACCCTTCCTTCTGTAAGCCTTCAACCTTCCCCACCTGTACGGGGCACTCTCGGAGCCCACACCGAGAGCCGAGGCCCCTGGCATTCTGGCCCGCACGATCCCACTGGCACACCCCTCCTTGCGTGCTCTCACAGCCTGCCACAGGACTGGGAAATTGCGGCTCCCGCGGCTCCGCTAAGCACGGCAATTACTCGAGGGAAATTACTTGCGCCCTCCTCCCGCGCTATGCGGGTGCGCGCTCCCCTCCCCTCGCCCTCCCTCCCTTTACGCATAGGTCGCCTTGCGCTGGGGGCGCTCGAGCGGGGCCGTGGCGCCCTCGGTCCCAGGCTGCTGCTGGGGTGACCGGGGAGGGGAACGCACTCACGCGGATGACGTAGCGCGAGGAATTCCTGTCGTCCAGGCTGACGGTGAGCGAGAAGAGCGCGGCGGCGCTGTACACGCCTTGGGCCTTGTACAGCAGCCGGTTGAGGTCCCAGAGCGCGGCGGCCCCCGGGCGCTCGGCGGCACCGCCCAGGTCCCAGCCCCCGCAGTCCTCGATGACTTCGAGCATGGGCTGTGGGCCGAGCCGCTCGATCTCACGCATGTCGAGGCACGAGCGGAAGAAGGCGCGCACCTTGCGCTGGGCCGCACCCCCCGGCCCACCCCCGGGCCGCGCCAGCAGGCGCCGCAGTCGCTCCTCGTTCTGCTCGCCGATGGCAGCGATGGTACCGTAGGTGAGCTTGTCGTCGGGGATGGCGTGGCGCCGCAGCCAGCCACCGCACGCGAAGGAGTAGAAATCCTGGCACGGGTCTATGCTGGCGTCCAGGTTGGCGGCCAGGAAGCGGGCGGCGCGCGCGAAGGCCTTGCGCTCCGGGCAGCCCTCGGAGCAGGCGCCGCCGCCGCCGCCCGCGGCGCCGGGACCCAGGTACTTGAGCGCCAGCATGGCGGCCAGGATGGCGCAGAGGCCGGCGGCGAACACCAGTCCCGACAGCAAGCACACCTCGCGCCGGTTCCAGCGCGGCAGCCCCGCCCGGCCCCCGGTGGCGCTGCGCCCCGCGCCCAGCGGGAAGCCGGGGGGCAGCGAGGCCCCGCGCGCTCCTCCCGTGCCGCACCGGCTCACGTATTTGACCTCCTGGAACTCGTCGTAGTGAGCCGTCATCGAATATGGGGTCTCCATGGTGCCGCTGACCCCGCCACGCAGCCCTTGGCGATCTCAGCTACAGGATGCGCGGACCGTCGGCCTCCCGGCGAACCTCCGCATGGCTCACGGGCTGCAGCTGCGGGAAGGGTAGACGCAGGTTCAGAGAGGTACTGGGCCCCCGACGGGGCCCACAAGCACGACTGGAGGGGCGCAGGCCTAGGTCCAGAGGCTGGAGGCCACCCCGTGTCTCCAACCGCTAGCGGGTCTGGGGCCTGGCCTCCCCCAGCTACTCAAGAATGAGTCAGGGGAAGGCTCAGAGTGGCCACCACCTCCCACACGCACAGTGTCGTCCTTTTTTTTAACCTAACTCCTCTCCCACTGCAAACACATGCCTGCCGCATATTTGGGAGGTCCCTGATATAAAGTAGGGGAGCAGCGTGCACGGGGGCCTCGCACACAGTAGGCCCTCAGTGAAGGACTGTTTCTCTTCCCCTTTGCCTTTCTCGTCTGCGACCTGCTACAGCGAAGGCCGGGTGGGGGAGGGGGGAAACGGAGACTGGAGAAAGGAGGTGCGGTCAAGGGCACGTCTACGCGGCCCCAGAAGCTGCACTGGAACTAGACGTTCAAGAAAGCGGCTAAAGAACCAAACTTTGTCCTCGCGGATGTCCGTAGGGCCGCCCCCAGCCCCGTCTTCTATTCGGTGGCCATAATGCCACCAGCCCCTTTCCCAAGCGGTGCGCTCCAACCGGCCCCGCGTCGGAGAGAAACCCCGACGGCCTTAAGAAACTGGAACCGGTTCCGTCCCCCGCCCCTCCGTCCCCGCCCTGGGCCACTCCTGGCTTCAACAGGTTTTCCTCAGAACCCAAACTTGAGTGAAGTTTCACCCCCGGCGCGGAGCGAGCTGACCCCAAGCGCCCCATACTCTGGGCGCGGAGCCTCGCCGCGCAGTCCGCGGAGCCGGAGAGCCGAGCCCGGGAGTCGCAGCCGCAGCCGGAGCCGGAGCTGCGAGGACACAGACAAAGCCTGGAGGCTCGGCGCAGCGGCGGCGGCGGCGGCGGATGTGGCCGCGTTGCTGGCCGCGGCGGCAGCGGACTCGGATGCCACTTACCCGGCAGGTGCGCGCCCGGGCCGAGCTGGAACTGAGCGGGTCGAGCCCGGGCCGGAGCCGGAGCCGGAGCCGGAGCGGAGCCGGGCGGGCGGGAGCTCTCTCCGTGCGCCCGCCGCCTCCTCTGCCGGCGCGCCGCGCAGCCCGCCGGCCCCGAGGGAGGGGGCGCGCCGGCGGCTCCACCCTCCTCCGCCCGCCCCCCGCGCCCCCTCCTTCTTCCACCCTTCATCCCAGCTACCTGTCAGCTCGGTGGCAGCTCGGGGGCGGGGACGGCGGCTGCGGGACACGCTTCCGAAGGTCTTGCGCAGGCTCCGGGATCGGGGATTCCAGGTACAACTGTGTCCCGGGAAGAGTGAGGGCGCCTGCTATTCCCAGGAAAGGGTTCCCCTTTGATCTGATGCCCCCACTCCCGCCGGCCCGAAAAGGGCTCAAGCTGGAGATCAGGAGGTGCGTGGATCGTCCCAGCCGAGCCCACAGGACTGGAGACCGCCCGGGGAGAACTCCCAGAAAGACTATGGGGTGTGCTGAAATAGCTCCTGCACGCTCCTGGCAAGGTGCCTGGCACTGAGCAGGCTTCAATACGTGGTCTTTCTGGTCTTCTCCCTTAGCCCTGACCTTACCCATGCCTCGTGGGAGGGCGTCTGGGGTTTTGGTTGGCCATGCAACCAGGAAGGGGGCCTCAGGGCTGAAACTGCACCCTTCCCCCAATCCTTGGCTGGCCTCTGCCCCCACTGCTCTGGAAGTCCCTGGCCAGGAAGAGAGAAAAGGACTGGAGAGTCTTGCGTGAGCCCCTCCCCTCTGAGAACAGGAGGGAGGCTGCTCTGCCCAGCAGCCCTTGTCCTCAGATGTAGGCCTCAGGCCCCTGCCATGTGGACTGGTGGAGGGAGGGGACTGGCTGGGGGGGGGGGGGGGGGGGGGGGGGGGTTCCCCCCCACCTTCTTCCCTTACAACTTGCTTTTTTAATGTGGGACCTCCCTCTCACGGCCCCCAGCCCCTGAAACAGGGTCCGCTTCTGCCTGGCTCACCACAGTACCCTCAGGCCCTGGCCATGTGAGGCACAGGGATCTCGGGGCCTCTTGGACCAATGCTACTGTCTCTCGAGTCTCTCTGCTTTCTCATTTCCTATCACAGGACCCTGCAAGGCACCAGTGCTCCCAGACCTGCCAGTTCCAGCCTGTAGGACTGGCCTCAACAGCGAGACAGTCCAAGACTGCCATGGAGCCCCAGCTGATAACACCGACAAGACAAGGGCTCAAAGGACCCATCACCTTGTCCCCTCCCTGGGGCTTTTCAGCAGCCTGGGTCCTGGGCCCCTGGCCCTGAGTGGCCTCCTCTGCCCCCATGCTGCCTCTCCTGTGTCTGTCCATCCATCCGTCTCTATACCACTGCTCTGGATACTCTCTGCCTCCACCTCCGGCCATCCCAGGGTCCTCCTCTGCCCCACGCATTCTTCTTGGGTCCAATTAATTCTACTGAGGAGAGGTGGAATTATGTAAAATGTGGTGATTCCGTAAGGGAGGAGGGGAGGGCAGGGCGGTGGCAAAGTGGTTCTTTGTGCTTTTAATCTGCATTTTTTCCCTCAACGTTCCGTCTCCAGGAGGATAATTTTCCAGCCTTTTCAGGCCCTGATTGGTATCATTTCTCCAGCAATGACAGCTTTTATTTTCCCTGAAATGAATGCCGTGAAATTTCCAAGAAATATAAAAATGGATATTGTCTCAGGGAGCCGACTCTCTTCCGACAGAAAGGCACAAAGCAAACAGGCTTCCCTGGGGACCCTGCTGTGCCAGCCACTAGGGGGTGGGGGACCTGAGCCCTCAGCCCCTCCTCCCTGCCAGGTCAGCTCTCTGTTGGACCCCCTCCTGGCCATCCCTCTCCCAGACTCCCAGCTGCCATTGATCTGTTCCTCTGCCTCCCCGCTCTCGGCCAGGCCACCCTACCTGCCTGCCTCACTCCATCTTGCCTGCTCTGTTCAGCACCGCACCCCCCACAGGACACCCAACCTCAGAGACTCCCACGACAACCCAGCCCCTGAGCAAGGTAACCAGGACCCTCCAGAGTGGCCTGGGGATTGGGCCCGTGAGCGCTCAGTCCTAGACCCCCTATACAGCCCACCAGCAAAGAGCAACCAGGCCCTTTGCTTCTTTGCCCTTTGTCCCTTCTCAGAAAGAGAAGCTGAGTGCAAGTGGGGGAGGACACCAAGGGTCTAGCCTCCAGCTCCCGTGCACTCTCCTTGAGGCATCCAGTTCCAGCTCCCCTCCCCCCCCCCCCCCCCCCCCCACCAGATTGTCAAGGTGACCTCCTGACTGAGGAGCAAGAGAATGACAGGACACAGCAGCACCCAGCCAAGCCCGGAGCCAGGCAACGGACGCCCAGCTTGGGGGCCGGGGAGGCAGGAGCTGGGGAGCATCTGCCCCCAGAGCCGCCTTGGAGAGAGAAGGGCTGAGGGTGTGCAAGGAGCAGAGGGGAGGGGTGCGGGTCGGTCCTGAAACCCTCACTTCAGCCCCTTCCCTGACCGAAGACCAGATCCCAGCCCACTCCTCCTGGGTGGGCATCACCAGGTCTGGGTTCCGGGGAAGGGTTCGCAAAGACTGCCCACCTCCTGGGGACCACGGTGGTCCCACCAGTGATACATCTGTTGAGCCTTCACTAAGTGAGGGGCAAAATGCTCCACTCCAAGGGGGCTGCCAACTGAAGCCAGGCCTGGGTCAGCCTGGAGCCCAGCCGTGATCAGAACCGTCGCGGCGCCCCTCTGGCCTGCATGTAAGTGGGGATAGACTGGGCCTGCCACTCCAGTACACAGGCCTAGGAGCCCCTACCCCTGCCTGTGCTCTGCGAGATGCCCCCCACCCCCCGCCTCCACCCTGCCCACCCAGCTCCCCCTCTCCACCACAGACAGCTCTGCAGTATCTTCTGTGTCCTGGAAAACGCCCCCCAGCCAGCTTCCTGTCCTCTGCCCAGCCTCCCAGTGCTCACCCCATCTATTATTCACAGCACAAAATGGATTTTTAATTTGAGAAATGAAATGACTCTCCCAAGTGGCCAGGGTGGCGGGGAGGGGGCGGGGGAAGGCCAGAGCCTCTAGACGGCCACCACAGTGCTGACTCAGACTCTTGTGGGAAAGCTGGGCGCCCACAGCAGACCTGGGGGACCCCAGAGGCCCACATGACCCATCACCCAGCTGCTACCTTCATTCTGCCCTGTCGCAGTGACTCCATGGTGTGAGGGGGTGCCTATCTTTCCTGCCTGAGCTCCCAGTCGGGTATGCTTTTGGCCAGAGAGAGGGGTAGGGAGGGCTGGACCTGCACCCCACTTATTTCAGATGTTTGGACCTCAAGGCACCTCAAAAAGCACTTGGACCTCAAAAAGCACTTGGGCTTTTTGGCCTGGTGTAGCTCCTCCCCAAACCGCCTGGCCCTCACTAAGCTGGGCTCAAGAATCACCCCCATGCAGACCCCTAGCTGAGCTTCTCTGCTAGGTACCAACACCATGGCATGCCCACTCCAACCTGGACAGCTGCCCAGCCTCCACGGGCCGCAGGCTCCCGGTGACCCTCCTCACCTCTCACGATAGAACTCACATACCTAGTGTGCCCACGAGGCAGTGACCTCTTCCCACCCTTCTCTGCCCTTCCTGCTCTGTCTCCCCACCTCCACCCTCTCTCTTTTTCTGGTCACTCTGACCTAGTTTCATTTCCTGGAACTTAGCTGCCTCTCATGCACCTCAGGGCCTTAGCACTTGCTGTCCTGCTACTGAAACACCCTTCTCCCGTCACCTCTTCCGTTAGCCAATTGCCACTCATCTTCTTGAGATGTCAGCCTCCCTTGTCTGGTTGGGTGCTATGTCTGCAGGCTGGGGCCCCCCACCTACAAACCTGCCCAGGCTCTCAGAGCCTCCACATGCTTCTCCTTGGCCCTGGGACCCATCAGATGACAAGAGGGGGCCGCTCCTCCCCCCCCACCCCCACACACACACCCGATGCTCCCTTCACCTGTTCTCCCACTACCTGGTCTGTCCCACGATGCACAGACTCTTCTCTGGGGTCACCTACCAACCTCTGGATCTGTTTTTTCCTTTTCTTAAAAGAAATGTATAAGTACATTCTTGTTTTAAAAGACTTAAACTACACAAATGGGCAGAAGGCAAATGTGAAATCCCTCCTCCATACCTGTCGCCCTCCCAGGCCTCCCCCACATAAGCCCCTCATTTCAGCCTCCAGGCCCTCCTGGGCATCACTCTATTTCTTTAAATGAATGGGACACCGCAGATGTGAGGGTTAGCACCCTGCACCCACTGGCCCGCAGCACCACTTCCCACCCAGCCGTCCTCAGGGTCACATCCCCAACGGAAGGACGCAGGTTGTCTAGGACGCACAACCCGTCTGGTCATCAGAGACTGAGGCCTTCCATGGCTCCCGGCCTCTCACCCACCCCCTGGGCCCACCCTGCCCCGGCTCCAGCTCCTCTCCGTCACCAGAAGGCTGTCCCAGCTGGTGGCATGGCTCCCCACTCATCCTCCAGCCATAGGTCCTCCCAGCACCTGCCTGCCCCAAGGGCTCACTGTGCTCCAAGACGAGCTCATCTTTAATTTCTCCTCCTCCCCCTCCACATTCTGTGCATCAGGGACGGTCCCGTCTCAGCCTTGGAAAGCCTCCTTACCTCTTCCTCTCCTTCCCATCCAACCTGTCTCAGTTCTAGTCCTCAGCTCTCCTGTCCTTGCTGGAGGAAAGTGGCGTCTTCCTTCTGCTTGCTCACCAGGTGCTGCTCTGTCCTGCCCATTCCCGCCCCACACCCTCTGTGACCCCTCGTTGCGGTTTCCGAGGCCTCCTCGGTCTGGCCTCAGACCCCCTTCCAGCCTCCTGGCTCATGCTCCCCTAAATGTCCCTCCTTTCCAAGGGATTGAACCCCCACTTCTGTGCCTTTGTTCTAGCCATCCCCTCAGCCTGAATACCCCATCCCCAGCCCTCCTGTCCTTCATCAGTCCCCTCTTCAGGATCCCCTGATAGTCCCCCTGGCTGGGCAGGTCCCTACCTGAAGGAGCCTGCCCGAGAGTCTCTCCTTGCCGGAGAGGTCTGTGCCCCTATGTGCCCAGCCCAGAACCTGGGGCATGGACTGGGCTGGATGGAGCAGGCCCATGCCCCAATCCACAGGGAGGTCCTAGCCAGGTCCTATGCCCAGCCCCACTGCATCCCTGTGAGCCCCTCTGTCTCCTTCCCTCCACAGCTCTGCTCTCCTACAAGGGACAGTTAGTGGCCTCGGCCACTCCCAGTGCTGTGGCTGGAACCCCCATAATAAAACACGTGGAACCCTCCTAAGTGCCAAGCTCTGTGCCAAGCATTCCGCCTGCTTTACCACACTGAGTCTTAGAAACCCCCTGGGGGCCCCATCACTGACCCCAGTGCACACATAGGAAAATGAAAAGCAGACACGGAAAGAAAGGTGCTCCAGTTCACCCAGCTCACAGCCCTGAAGTTGACCTTTGAACCTATCTGCTGCATTCAGTATGTTGGGGGCACGCACACTACCAGCTGGGAGATGAAGGGACAGGCAGGGCACTTAGAACCCGAGTGAAGGCCCAGCTGTGATCTCAGCCCAGGAACTGTGCTGGGTGGGAGGTGCTGAATCCAGGGGACCAGGCAGGTGCCAAGGTGGCTTTGGCCAGAGACCTCAGGAAGAAACTCAGGGCCTGCAGCCAGGCCCTTGGCCTCCCTTCCAGATGTCCCCACCTTCAAGGGCTCTTCCTGGATGTCCCTGTCTGAAGCACCCAGTTGTTTTCTCTCTGTTGCCCTGGGTACATCTTGTACAGCATTTGTCCCCACCTGACGTTATCTATGACTTGGCATTCTCATGGTCTCTCTTCCTTAGCTGTGGGGACCCTGGATTTTTCCCATCACCTTGTCCTTGCCCGAGTGTCAAGACCTTGACCACAATGCAGTTGGGGGGGGAAGCCAGATTGACAGAGTCAAAGCAGAGTGGTGGCAGCGGGGGGCAGGGAAGAAAGGGAGTAGAGAGTCTGAGGCCTGTGGGTCTCTGGTTCTGACAACCAGGCCCCTTAGGTTTACTGTTTGATGGACAGGCCATGACAGGGAGCTGGTCTCCTACTACAAGATGCAAATAGGGGGCCTGGGTGGCTCAGTCAGTTAGGCGTCCCACTCTTGATTTCAGTTCAGGTCATGATCTCAGTTTGTGGGTTCGAGCCCTGCCTCAGGCTCTGTGCTGTCAGTGCAGAGCCTGCTTAGGATTCTCTCTCTCTCTCCCTCTTTCTCTGCCCCTCACCTGTACTCTCTCTCTCTTTCTCTTTCTCTCTCAAAATAAATAAACTAAAAAAAAAAAAAAAAAAAAAAAAAAGATGCAAAAAAAGCCACAAGTGTTTGGGGCATATAGGAAGGTAGGCCCCAGAGCCTGGGGTACTTCCTGTCGGGATTGCCAAGGGCCCATCGCCTGGGACTGCAAGAAAGGGGGTGGGCTGGAGCTGGGCAGAGCCCAGAAAAGCCAGCAGGACCTGAAGGACCTCTTCCTTGCTTCACAGGGTCACTGGGCCGAGCTCCCCTCCCCCAGCACTCCATCATCATTTCAAGTGATTGGAACCGAAGGGGATCGTTAGCTAATTAAAGCCGAGGCCACTAATTGCCCCTTGTAGGAGAGCAGGGCTGTGGAGGGAAGGAGACAGAGGGGCTCAGAGGGACGCAGCGGGGCCGGGCATAGGGCCCGGCTAGGGCCTCCCTGCAGACTGTGTTTTGGAGGGGGCCCTGTCGCAGACTCCCTGAAGTGGAATTGTGGGATAGAGGACAAGAGTGCCCGAATCAGAGTTCCCATTGAACACCCGCGTGTCACGGGGAACACCCGTGCCCACCTCTATCCACAGCCAGCCACCCAGAGCTGTGGGCTGAGGTGGTGAGTGGCACAAAGCCCCCACAGACACCCCATGGATGCAGCGACAGGCCAGATCTGAGGACAGCCAGCAGAACCCAGGGGCCCCAGCCCCACACTGGCCCCCCAAGCAGGAAGCCTGGCTGCCAATCTCTGCCTCCCCGCCTCCCCTCGCAGAGATGCCAGCTGCTGGTATACATCCACACGTTCGACAGTACCAGCCTCACCTGGGGCTGCCCAGAGCCCAGCACCAAGCTCCCCCCCACCCCACCCCCACCCCAGCAGGATGTTCCAGGACCTCCCATAGAAACTACCAAAGATGGTTATTCATTTTCCGTTGCCGTGTAACAAACTTCCACAAACGTAGCAACTTAAAACAGCAAATTTATGATCTCAGGTTGTGTCGGTCAGAAGTCCAGGCTCCACGAGGCTGGGTTCTCCGCTCGGGGCCTCACTGGGCTGAAGTCGGGGTTGGTGGGGGCTGAGGCTTCTCTTCCAAACTCACTGGGGGAGCCAGAATCGGCATAGAATGAAGGCGTCCCTTCTTTAGTGGCTATTAACTGGGGGCTGTTCTCAGCGACTA